AGTGTCATGTTTGTAACTCGAACGGTCACTAAATGAACAGCTGTAAGTTGAACAGTACCTGTGCTGTTTTTTAAACACAAAAAAATCTATTCCTCCTCAACACAGCATAACACCACAATGTTGCTTTTGTCATCAGGCTGGCAACCAGAAGGAAAAAAATCCATATTGTTTTCTCTTTACAAAAATGATTTGCCATGCTTTTTTTGGGGGGGGGGAGAGGAGGGAGATTTTTCTTCCCAATTTCTTGTTCTAGTCCAGAGATCTCCAAACTTGGTAACTTTGAAACTTGTGGACTTCAACTCCCAGAATTCCCCAGATAGAAAGACAGCATGGCTGGCTGAGAATTCTGGGAGTTAAAGTCCATAAATCTTAAAGCTGCGTTGTTGGCTGGGGAATTCTGGGAGTCTAAGTCCACAAGTCTTAAAGATACTTACTGACTGAGGAATTCTGGGAGTTGAAGTCCACTGAGAATTCTGGGAGTTGAAGTCCTCAAGTCTTAAAACTACCAAGTTTGCAGACCTCTGTGCGAGTCCAAAGCAGAACACCATTTCCTGGTGGTCTCCCCTCCTGTTGCTAACCAGAACCCACCCTGGTTCAAGATCAGCCCCCAACCACGGGAGGCCATCCGCGGTGGACCCCAAGGAAGACTGCAGGTTGAAAGATCAGGATGACAAAACCACGAGCCGGAGCAGCCCGTTTTTCGAGATTAAAAATAAAATAAATAAATCATATTTTTTTCGGTCCTGCAAAAACAGAAAAGAAGAAAAAAAAGGATACTTACTGTTTGGAGGATGCAAGTCGATTTTGTGTCTAGCGGTAAATAGATTGTGTAAATATTGCGGCAAAGGATTTGGTTGCCCACAAAACTGAGAAAAGCCAGAGGAATGACTCAGCCAGACACGACAATTAAAATGAAAAGCCGGAGGTAAAAATGTTACTTTCCACCTCATTTTCACTCCCTTCCTTCTTTGTAGCCCCAAGCTATGAAAACATCTCTGCTCAATCTTTTATTTTTTTTATTTTTTGCTGAAATGAAAAAGAAAAAAAAATTAACTAAAAGATGTTAAGAGATTTGGGTCTCAGCCAGCCTGTTGACAGAGCTCTGACACGCTTTTAATGACTCTGAATTGGGTAGCTGTTGCCCAAACATTCCTGAGATGGTTGGATTTAATCACCCATCCCTTCTTCTAAATTATTTTCTTTGCCTCATTAATTTTCAGGTTCCTTCTGGGACGTCTGGGGAGGGAGGGGAAAAATGTAATTTTTGTCTCTTTGGGTGCCTGGGAAAACAAACAAACAGATGTGGGTCGTCCCCCCCTTCCATTAGGATTGCATGGAATAGTGCAGTGGTTTGATAGTTTAGAGGTATGTGTGAAAGAGAGAGGGAGGGAGAGAGAGAGGGAGGGAGGGAGAGAGAGAGGGAGGGAGGGAGAGGGAGGGAAGGAGGGAGGGAGATGAGTGGATAGATGATAGATGGATGGATAGATAGATAGATAGATAATATAGATGATAAATGGAGGGAGGGAGGAACGGGGAGAGATAATATTATTTATTTATTATTATTAATTATTATTTATTATTATTTATTTAATTTGTATGCCGCCCCTCTCCGAAGACTCAGGGCAGCTCACAATGCATTTAAAATCATTATAAAAACATTTAAGAATTAAAAACATTAAAAACATTAAAACTCATTCACGCCATTCATGGCCGGATCTCGCCGGATCGCAAGAGCGAGATCAACGGCCTCAGGCCTGCCGGAAAAGCCAGGTCTTCACCGCTTTTTGGAAGGCCAAGTTACCTCTGGTTCCAGAGAGCTGGGGCAGCCACAGAGAAGGCCCACCCCTGCGGGCCCGCCAGCCGGCATTGTTTAGCTGACGGGACCCGGAGGTATAGATAGATATAGATAATAGATAGCTAGATGAATGGAGAGAGGGAGGGAAAGAGGGAGAAATAATACATAGATAATAAATAGAAGATAGATAGATAGATAGATAGATAGATAGATAGATAGATAGATAGATAGATAGATAGATAGATAGATGGATGGATGGATGATTGGATGGATGGACGGATGGATGGACGGACAGATACAGAAAGAAATAATAGCAAGATAGATGATAAATGGAGAGAGGGAGGGAGAGAGATAATAGAGAGATTGATAGCTAGATGAAAGGAAGGAGGGAAAGAGGGAGAAATAATAGAGACATAGATGATAAGATAGATGGATGGATGGATATATAGAGAGAGATAATAGTAAGATAGATGATAGATAATAAATGGAGGGAGGGAGGAAGGGATGGGGAGAGAGATCATAGAGAGATAGCTAGATAGAAAGAAATAATAGAGAGGCATACATGATGGAAGAGAGAGAGAGGGGGGAGGGAGGGAGGGAGAGAGAGAAGTGATATTGGGGTGATGAGCATCTCCGGGAGCAAAGATTTCTGCCCAATTTTGCACGGGTGACAAACCAAAATTCAAACTCTATGGCTGAACCCCGACAGGTGACTCCTAGGTCTGTTTCTCTTCAATCCATGGGACCCAAAGGGTTTTTTAAAACCCCAGTTAGACCCCCTCTCTATGCTTGGTCTCCAGGAGAGTGTGTATATGTATGTGTGCAGAACGTCAGCTCTGCCTTTTTCACTATGCAAATTTGGGTGTGCGGCAATTCACCATTCCGAGCTGATCTGCTTTACGGAAAGCGAGGAATTCCTTGGGGGGGCACTCTAAACCTTGCTGGAAAAAAAAAAAAGAAAGAAAAGAAAAGAAAAAAGAAATTAAATTAAAATTAAACCCCCTTCCCTTTGCGACGTGGCCTTCCAGCTCGGCATCCCTCAAGGTCCATAATGGTGTAATTGAGGCGGTTAGTCTGGACTCTGGTGTGATATTGTGCGGACATGAATGAAGCTGGCTACTCCAGGCTGGGACGCACTGCGAGGATCTGCCGGGCTCTATTCAGGCTGTGGCTAATCTGTTTCATTGCTCCTCGCCCCTCAAATTCCTGGCCCAGTGGTGGGTTTTTCTCTGGGTTTTGTTACTGTTTCTTAAAGACCTCGGCGGGCTGCCGGGCCTGAAAGGAATCAAATTATTAAAGATTTTGTGGAAAATCCAAGGAGAATGGAACCTATTCTATAAGAAGGATGGCATTGTGTCTCCGGAGGGGAAGGTTCTCAGCTGCTCTTTGCGGCGTGGTGTTCGAGTTGGTTTTTGTGGCTTTAACCCTTTCGAAAGGAAGAAAATGATATTTAGCTGAGCACAAAATGTGCTCTTCCTGCCCCCTTTCTTTCTGTTTTTCTTTCTTTCTTTCTTTCTCTCTTTCTTTCTCTCTTTCTTTCCTTTCGTTTTTCTCCCTTTCTTCCTAACTTCCTCCCTACATTTCTCCCTCTCCTTGTTTATTTATCTATTTTTTCCTTCCTCCCTTCCTCCCTCCTTTCTTTTTTCTTCTTTCCTTCCTCCCTCCCATCCTTCTGTTTCCTTCCATCCTTTTTTCTTTTTTGATCTTTCTTTCTAACTTTCCCCTTCCTTCCTTTTTTCCTCCTTTCCTGTTCCTTCCTTCCTTCCCTCCTGCATTCCTTCCTCCCTTTTTCTCTCCATCCATCCCTCCCTTTCCTTTTTTCTTTCTTTTCAATTCTCGCTTTCTCTTTCCTTCCTTCTTCCGTTTTTCTTTCTTTCTCTTCCTTCCTTTCTTTCATCGTAAGGGTTTTTTTTTATCACTCCATGCTCAGCTGCCTATCCATTCACCTTATTAATTTTTTTTCAACACCCAACAGAAATTTGGATCCCCTGGATATTTTCCTTTCAAAGCTGGCCCAAAGGGATGTAAGATGAAGAACCGAACTAGTAACCAGGATGGCAAAGGCTGAGGGGATACGATGGGCAGGAAGGAAGAGGGATCAAGCCAAGCCCAAGATAATTAATTGTTTCTTCCAGTCACCTTGATGCACTGTTTAATCTAAACTTCAGCGGGAAAATTACCCAGGCCAATCTCTTAGGAATTAACAGACTAACAACAGTTAGAAGGGAACTTGGAGGTCTTCTAGTCCAACCCCCTGCTCAAGCAGGAGACCCTCTACCATTTCAGACAAATGGTTGTCCAACCTCTTCTTTAAAACCCCCAGTGATGGAGCACCGATAACTTCTGGAGGCAAGTCCTTCCACTGATTAATTGTTTTCACAGGAACAATTTCTGTCAGGAAATTTCTCCTTAATTGTAGGTTGCTTCTCTCCTTGATTAGTTTTCATCAGGGGTGAAATCCAGCAGGTTCTGAACAGGTTCTGGAGAACCGGTAGCGGAAATTTTGAGTAGTTCGGAGAACCGGCAAATGCCACCTCTGGCTGGCCCCAGAGTGGGGTGGGAATGGAGATTTTGCAGTATCCTTCTCCTGCCACGCCCACCAAGCCACGCCCACCAAGCCACACCCACCAAGCCACACCACGCCCACCAAACCACGCCCACAGAACCAGTAATAAAAAAAATTTGGATTTCACCACTGGTTTCCATCCATTGCTTTTTCTCTTACTTTAAGGTGCTTAAGGTTGACCCCCTCTTCTTTGTGGCAGCCCTTCAAATATTGGAAGAATGCTATTATATCTCCTCTAGCACTTCTTTTCACTAGACTAGAGATACTGAATTCCTGTAACCATTCTTCATATGTTTTAGCCTCCAGCCCTAATCATCTTTGTGGCTCTTCTCGGCACTCTTTCTAGAGTCTCAACATCTTTTTTATACGATGGTGTCCAAAAGTGGATGCAAATATTCCAAGTGTGGCCTTATTACCAAGGCTTAATAAAGTGGTATTAAATCTTCACGTGATCTTGATTCTATCCCTCTGTTGATGCAGCCGAGGACAGCGTGGGTTGAATGCAGTGGGTTCAGCTCGGTCCAGCTGTTCTTGCCATCTCTTTCTTAGAGACCATTGAGGGCCATCTCAGATGCCAGAGTTGGCGCCATGAGCTCGTTCTCTGTTTCACATCCTGCTGTTTGAGGAAACAATGTCAAGCTAACCCACCTGCCGAGCAGATAACAACATGTTAACATCGGTTAAGAAGCCAGGCTGGGCGGTGGAAGGGATTCCCGCGAATTTGCATGGAGACTCTGGGGATGGGGCCAGGGGCCACGGCCAGGCGCTTTGTGTGGCAGGCAACACAATTTCATGGCCCGTGATTGTTGGTGGTGCGGGGTGGGAGGTGGATTCACACAAAGGCTGGTTTTTCTCAGGGGAGCCGTGCAAAATCCACCGGTGCTTTTTTTTGTGTGTGTGTGCAAAGCATTGCAAACAGAGGGGAAAAAAATATCCGCAAATACAGGAAGTCCTTGACTTACAACGTTTAGTGATGGTTCAAAGGTACAACAGCAATGGGGGAAAAAAGAAATGGCTCATGACCCTTTTTCCAAATGTACGTTGTGGCATCTCCAAGGTCACACGATCAAAATTCAGATGCTTGGGAACTGACGCATATTTATGACGGATGCAGTGTCCCAGGGTCATGCAATCATCTTTGGCCAGAAGCAAAGTCAAAGAGGAAACTGGATTCGCTTAACAACCGTGTGGCTGAGTTTACAACTGCAGTGATTCACTTAACAACAGTGGCAAGAAAGGTCGTACCATAGGGCAACTAACAACTGTCTTGGTTAGCAACAAAAATTTTGGGCTCAATTGTAGTCGGACGTCGAGGACTGGATGAAAAGCCCTTCTCTCGTCCTGAGACGGGATAACCCAACCGGAGCACAAATCAAAGCATCAGACGGCTCGTCTCTTTAAAGTCTGGGAGGATTAAAGAGAGAAGGAATTTTTTTTTTAAAAAAAAGCACAACCAAGGTTTGTGCTTTGCCTTAACCACAGAAAAAAATATCTCTCCCCGAACAACAAAATAAAAGAAAGGAAGAAAGAGCGAGCAAGAAAGAACATCTTACATTTGGAGCCATAATCGTAAAGCGCGGGATTAGGAAGAAAATTTCACTTACCACATCTGTCAGCCAAACGGCAAAAAGGCAGGTTTTAATTGCCGGGATCTTCCTGCATCTGTTTGGATTGTTGAAAAGGAACAGAAGGATCCCTGCTCAAAGAAAAGCCTCTTCTGACACTTGGAGGTTGCCTGTTGCAAAAAAGGAAAATAGCTTTTTTTTGTCAGCTAAAGCAATTCATATTCTCTCTCTCTCTCTCTCTCTCTCTCTCTCTCTCTCTCTCTCTCTCTCTCTCTCTCTCTCTCTCTCTCCCTCTCCATAGTCTTCTCCTCCTCCTCCTCTAACCCAACTCTCTTCTTTTGCTGATGATGTTACCTAGTTGGGTCATGAAACATTTGCAACAAAACTACCAAGCTCTGAGTGCATCAAGGACCCCACAGTTCAATCCTTAACTACAGATATTTTTTTGACTCTGAGTGCCAACACTCCTAAACTCATGTTGCCCCCTTCTTCTGAGTGCTGATATTGATCAGCAAAGTTTTGTTGCTGTGACTGCTGGTTTCAACTGTCCAGTCTATTGTGTATCTCAGCAATCCCTTTCAAAGGTCTCCAGTGCACAATTCCATCAAATCTTGCTTAAAGATTTGTTGGCAAAGCCACCCAATGAATCTCCTCTTTAGACCCAATTGAGGGGTAGGGGGGGGACATCAAGTGTCATGAACCTCAAACTTCATGAAACCTAATCCTAACCATTTTAGGTAGCTTGTGGAACTTCAAGCTTCATGAAACTCATAGGTTTTCAGGTTTCATGAACCATAGCCCCAATCATCTTAGGTGGTTAGAGAAACCTGAAGTTTCATGAACCTCAAAGAACCTCAAGTTTTATGAATCCTAACCCTAACCATCTTAGGTAGTTTGAGGAACCTCAACTTTCATGAATTAGCAGAAGCATCAGGGGCAAAATTCTAAAAAAATGGGAAGGATCTTAGAGGAACTCATCAGGAATTGGGTGTAGAATGCCAAACTTCTAGAAGACAAAGGAAAATTGAAGGATATATGGAATTTGAGAAAGAGTTGGTTGAAACCCTGAGGAGAGGAATTCCATCTAAATGAGGACATGTTACTGCAAGCATTATGCTACTTGACTATTTTAAATCAGATTTAATTTGGAGAAACCATTTGGAGAGGTTCTGTGGTTGCTAGAATGGCAAATAAATGGTACACTAAATTATGACCAAGCTCTGGGGGAAGCTATGGGGCGTCTCTCCCCTGCCACAATGGCTTCCTTCCACAAATGAAAATATTTGGGGCTAGACTCGAGTTTCAAAAGGATCTTGACAGACTTTAACACTGGGGCCTATCCAACAAAATGCAATTTGTTGTTGAGAAAAGTAAGGTTTTACATTCAGGCAGGAAAAAACAAGTGCTCAGGTATAAAACAGGGAGTACTTGGCTCGATAACAGAAATTGTGAGAGGGATCTTGGAGTCCTAATGGTCAACCACTGAAATATGAGCCAGCAGTGTGCTACAGCTGCCAAAAAAGCCAAACCAGTTCTAGGCTGCATCAACAGAGGGACAGAATCAAGTTCACATGAAGTGTTAATGCCACTTTATGATGCCTTGGTAAGGCCACACTTGGAATATTGCATCCAGTTTTGGTCACCACAATACAAAAAAGATGTGGAGACTCTAGAAAGAGTGCAGAGAAGAGCAACCAAGAGGATGAGGGGACTGGAGGCTAAAACATATGAAGAACAGTTGCAGGAACTGGGTATGTCTAGTTTAATGAAGAGAAGGACCAGGGGAGACATGATAGCAGTCTTCCAATATCTCAGGGGCTGCCCCAAAGAAGAGGGAGTCAAGCTATTCTCCAAAGCACCTGAAGGCAGGACAAGAAGCAACAGATGGAAACTAATAAAGGAGAGAAGCAACTTAGAACTAAGGAGGAACAGTGGAACTGTTAACCAGTGGAACTGCTTGCCACCAGAAGTTGTGAATGTTCCAACACCGTAAGTTTTTAAGAAGAGATTGGACAGCCATTTGTCTGAAATGCTGTAGGGTTTCCTGCCTAAGCAGGGAGTTGGACTAGAGGTCCCTTCCACATCTGTTATTTTGTTACACAATGGTTAATTGGAACTCACTTCCTATTTTTTTTTCGCTACTTTGCTTTTATGTTTTAATTTTATTTTGGGTGTATTTTAATACAACTATTCGTGTAGCAATCATTTGAAGTCACAACATCACTGAAAAAAGTGACTTACAACTAGTCCTCGCACTTACAACTGATGCAGCGTTCCCATGGTCACGAGATCAAAATTTGAATGCTTGGCAACCAGTGTGTATTTACAACCGTTGCAGCATCCTGGGGTTGTGTGATCACCATTTGCAACCTTCCCAGATGACTTCCAGCAAGCAAAGTCAATAGGGGAAGCCAGATTCACTTACCGACTGCACAATTCACTTAACAACTGCAATAATTCGCTTAACAACCATGGTTATAAAAGGGGCACAACTATTTATCGCAACCCTGCTTAGCAATGAAAATTCTGGTTGCCACTGTTTATAAATGCAGGTACACCTCGGTTTACCACCACAACTGAGCGCAAAATATTCTGTTGTTAAACGAGATGTTTGTTAAGTCAATTTTGCCCCATTTTAGAAAACTTTCTTCCCACATTTGTTAAGTGAATTCCTGGAGATGTTAAGTTAGTCACATGGTCGTTAAGCGAATCTGGCTTCCCCCTTGACTTTGCTTGTCAGAAGGTCACAAAAGGGGACCACGTGACCCCAGGACACTGCAACTGTCATAAATAGGAGTCAGTTGCCAAGCGTCTGAATATTGAACACGTGACTGCAGGGAGGCTGAAACAGTTGTAAGTGTGAAAAACGGTCATCAGTCACTTTTTTCAGTGCTGTTTTAATGTTGAACAGTCACTAAATGAACCGATGTAAGTGGAGGACTACCTGTCTTGTGCACCTTTGCACACTGGAAGGAAGGGCAGACTCTGAACCTGCCTTTGCAAAGAGGAAGCAGAACAGGCCTCAGGCTTGCAAATTCTGCCGGTGGTATCTATGTGAGTTCGACAATTGTGCGTTTCCAACACAAGATTTGGAAGAACCAAGCCAAGCCAGGCTCCAGGGAAACTGCCTGGTGAATTCATGCTGTGGTTCCTAAGGAAATGCATTGTTTTGCTCTGTTTAATAGTCCATCAACGAAGTCTGAGGCCTTATCCTGTGGCCGGTTATTTATTTATTTATTCTTTTTAATCCACTGCAGTTCAATTTGTTGGGAAGGCTAAATTGCCATCTGTTTCCTCCAACTTTGGCCAATTTTATTCCTGAAAAGGGTTTAAATGCTGAAGGGTTTAATGCTAACATAAAGTTGGTTTCGGGTTAGAATAAACACTCTGAAGCACCTTTATCAGAGTTGGAAGGGAACTTGGAGGTCTTCTAGTTCAACCCTCTTCCTTCAAGAAGGAAACCTTCTATCATTTAAGATATTTTATAAATTACAGTTCAGAGTAGGATGAGCCGAAGGCTATTGGATCCAGCCATATGGGGAGTTCTCGACTTACGACCACAATTCAGCCCACAATTTCAATTTGTAAGCAAGATGGTGGCTATGTGAGTTTTGCCCCAATTTACGACTTCTCTTGTTGTTAAGTGAATCTGGCTGATGATTTTGATTATCAGAAGGTCGCAAAAGCGGATCACATGACCCCGGGACATTGCAACCATCATAAATATGAACCAATTGCCGAGTGCCCGAATTTGGATCCTGTGACCACTGGGAGGCTGCAACGGTCGTAACTGTGAAAAAATGGTCACAAGTCGCTTTTCTCATTGCCGTTGTAACTTTAAATGGTCACTAAATGAACTGTAGTAAGTCGAGGACTGAAAAAAATTCTGCTGTGTCTAAAGATGTCAGCAGGGTTGGGTCAAAAAAGTCAAGATGGCGGCCACAGGTGTGGAGGAAGCTTTGCCTGTTTCAACTCGCTTGTGGCCACTAACTCGAGTTACATGTAGTCCTGGTCTTACAACCAGTTGTTTAGTGACTGTGACTCACATTTATGACAATTATGTAGCATCTTGGGGTCATGTGATTGTGATTTGCATCCTTTCCCATCTGGCTTCTGACACGCAATTTAGGAAGCCAGATTTGCTTAATGATCAAATATTTCACTTAATGACCATGGTAAAAATCATCATAAAATTGGGTACAATCACGTGATGGCTTGCTTAACAATTGCTAAAATTGCTTAGCAACTAAAATTCTGGTCCCAAATGTGGCTGTAACTTGTGCACTACCTGTATTAGAAACGTATAGATAAATCCTGGATTAACAACAAACACATCACCTGTCCAAACACTTCAACTATGCTATTGCAGGATTCTCTAAATTGGTATTTCTGCACCTTAGCATATTTAAGATAGGTGGCTTCAACTCCCAGAATTCCCGAGGCAACCATGATAGATAGACAAGCCATATTTACACACCAATCAATAGGGACAATAAAAAAGGTAAGAACAAAAAAAAAAACAACAACCAGAAAACAACTCTCCAACAGCCAGTTGCTAGATAAGCGGGGATTAATACCAGACAAACAATCCAGCAGAAAACAACATCCTAATCACAGAATTACCAAGAAGAAAACATGCAATGTGATGCCTAGGGAATTCTGGGAGTTGGTCCACTCATCTTAAAACATGCTGGCTGGGGAATTCTGGCAGTTGAAGTCCACCCATCTGAAATCAAACTGGCTGAGGAATTCTGGGTGTTGGAGTCCATATCTCTTATAGCTTACTGGTTGGGGAATTCTGGGAGTTGAAGTCCACTCGTTAAAGTTGCCAAGATTGAGAATCCCTGCTCTCAATAAATCCTCCCCATCCCAAATTCCACCACGCAGCCCCCACACCCCATTATCTTCACCTGCACCTTGCTTCCAACAGCTCATCTCCTGGGGTGGCGGCCTCTGCATTGCAAGACAGCCATGATCTCATCCTCCACTCGTGGCTTGTCTCTCTCTCTCTCTGTCTGTCTCTCTCTCAATTCTTTAAACCCGAGAGAGGCCAAAGGGGTTGAATAGGTACCCTTGTCAATTAGAGAAACAGCAAGCAGAAAGGCACAAGGGAGACCCTTGTTGGCTCATGCAACAGGTCATCTCGGGGATCTTCAACCATCTCACCCTC